AAAGAGATAGATGATTGGGTGTGAAAGAATAAGAGGAAGGAATATTAATACAATAAAATTTGATAAAAAATTAAATGCGACTTATTTAACAATGGCAGTAATGAGTAATAATATTTCGAAATGTTCTCTTCTATTACAAAAGGAATGATATTTAAAGGAGAAAGGTATAGAAAAAAAGGAAAGGAGAGAAAATAAGGAAGAAAAAGAAAGAGAGAGAGAGAGAGAGAAAGGGAGAAAAGAAAAAGGAAAAATGAACGGAGAAAACGAGAGAGAAATAATAGCTAAACAGTAAAAATCTAAACTTTCATATTTAAATTAATTCCTAATTTAAACATGTTTAAACTAATTCCTAGCAAAAAAATGCAAAGTAATAAAAGGTCATAAGGTCATAAGGTTATAGGTCATAAGGTTATAGGAATAATATTAAATTCCATTAATGAGAGATTGTAACAAAAAAAAATTGGATAATAGAAATATTGATTCAAAAAAAAAAAAAATAAAATAAAAAAGGGAAAAAATCATACAAATATCAAACAATGAAAATGTTAGTTTAAAATTTTTTTATTTTAAAATTCTTTTAAATAATAAATTTAACAATGACATGGTTCATTTTGGATATTAAAATTAGGTATAAAATATAAAAGAATTTCAGTATTTGTACAATCGATTATTGAAGAAAAAATAAATAAATCAGAGAACGGATAAAATAAAGATGAAATTAACTTTTACATTATGAAAATTTCTGCGTAAACTATAAAATATTAAAATTTTTTTACATTAGCTGATAATTATTAGCAGTAATTAAATTTAAATGATCTTTGATTTAAGCGAATGAAAAGCAAACATCTTCTTCTGGACACCTTCTAAGTGAACATTTTCTATTTCTTTTTTTTTTGTTTTCTTCCACATCCCTTAAATAATTTTATAATTCCGCCCATTATCCATTGATAGAAATATGCAAATTGTCCCAGTTCTTTTCTTTTGTCATCATTTTTAATTTGTCCCCTTTTATGAAACAAAATTTCACGGTTGATTTATTTGATAAATATACAAGAAATTATCATAAAACAAGCTTTATAATTATATTAATTGAAATTAAAAAGAAAAAGGATTCCATCCGGAATGAAATTCATGCAAATAATCAGGAAATCAGGAAATATCTGTTCTGTTTTTTTTTTTTTTTGAAAATTACAGGGAAGGAAAGAAACTGATGAATCAGTCAAGCTTTAATATGAATATATTAATCATAATTAATAATAATATTTGGTTAATGAAATTAATTATACATTGATGAAAAGTTATAAGAAGAAACAGGTGACAGTTACTGTGATCACCAATTCTATACAGTTTTAGGGTTTGAATCGAAATTTTAGTATGCACTATTCGAGTGTCCTATAATGATAGAAGCATCTAAATATCTAAATATAATAATATAATTAATGTCATATCATAAATGTCAATATTACTTAAACTTTATTAATGAAGTAATACACTTCATTGATGTCATATCCTATAATGTTTGGTGATAGTTGACATTAATGTCACCATATCATATAACATATTATGTTTTCGTTTTTTCTCTTGAAAAAAAAGTGAAACAATAAGAGTGAAAAGCGGAAATAATTATTGTAAGAGATGCATTATTAATTAAAACATTTATAAATAATTAAATTTTAGTTTATCATTTTTATTTGCAACTCTGTAAAATGTAACGATAGAGAAACGGTTGATTTAACATTTATAGAGGTTTGTTTACACATATACTAAAATGGTAAAATGGGTAAACATAGAGATGACAAAATCAACTTGCAGCTTTCAAAATAGTTAAATAGCATGTCTTGTGACAAATTTAGATTGAACGATCGGTTTTCATCGAATAAAATAAACAATATAAGCATCTATGATAACATTATCAACAACATCAACAT